CCAGTGTAGTAATATTATGAGTTCTAGGGGAACTAGTAATAAGCAGAACGAGGTAGATATTGAAAAGCCAGGGACTTTGGGTGATAAGGACAGTAATAGGTTTAGTAGAAAAACAGAAATGAGCAGGAAGGGTAAAGAGAAAGGAGAGTCTTTCAATGTTTATTATGCTAATTGCCGTAGTGCTAGGAATAAGATGGACGAGTTGAGATTAGTTGCTAGTGCAGATAACATTGATGTATTTGCCTTAACTGAGACCTGGTTTAATTAAAAAAGTCGGGACATGCCTGCGGAATGTCATATTCAGGGTTTTAAATTGTTCCAAGTAGATAGAAGTATCGGGAAGGGGGGTGGCGTGGCATTGTATGTCCGAGATCGCTTGAACTGTTGCATAAAAACGGGTATTAAGTCTGAAGTAACACATACAGAGTCTGTTTGGATAGAATTTTCAGAGAGGCATGAAAAACTGATTTTAGGAGTGATATACCGTCCACCAAACTTAGATAGGGACCAAGGGAGACTACTATGGGAGGAAATTGTTAAGGCCACAAGGCACGATAATGTAGTAATTCTAGGAGACTTTAACTTTAGTCATATTGATTGGAATTTCTTGACTGGGAATTTAGAATCATACGACTTCTTAGAAGTAGTTCAGGATTGTTTTTTGAAGCAGTTTGTGACAGAACCTACAAGGGGAAATAACCTGCTTGACTTAGTTATGGCAAACAATGAATCCCTTGTTAATAATTTAGAAATTTCAGAGGAACTGGGTGCTAGCGACCACAAATCAATTACATTTAGCATTGAATGGAAGTACGATAGTAGCGATAACTCAGTAACAGTCCCAGATTTTCGCTTAGCAGATTACGATGGGCTTAGAGAACACTTATCATCTGTTGACTGGGGTAACGAAGTGAGCTATCAATATGACAGTTTTCTGAACACTATACATGCTGCTCAAAGAACGTTTATCCCATATAAAGAAATTAGATCAAATAGAAATGACCCAAAATGGATGAATAATAGGCTCAAATATCTACTAGGGCATAAGAAAGGAATTTATAGGCGTATCAAAAGAGGTGAGGGTCATCTTATGAATCAGTATATTGACATTAAGAGGGACATTGTAAAAAGGGGATAAGAAAAGCTAAAAGGGACTATGAAATTAAAGTTGCTAGGGATTCTAAAACTAACCCAAAAAGTTTTTTCCAGGTCTATAGAACAAACGTTAGAGATAAGATAGGTCCCCTTAAAAATAACTATGGGCACCTTACTGACAAAGAGAATGAAATGTGCTCGATTTTTAATAATTATTTTCTCTCAGTTTTTACACAGGAAGACACTAACAATATTCCAGTAATTAATTTTTATAGTGGGCTAGAAGAAGATAAATTATGTAACATCACAGTCACTAGTGAAATGGTTGTGAAGCAGATAGACAGACTGAAGCAAAATAAGTCGCCGGGTCCTGATGAGGTTTTTTCAAGGGTTCTTAAGGAATGCAAAATGGAACTCTGTGAACCATTAACTAATATTTTTAATTTATCTCTTCAAACAGGTGTAGTGTCTGATATGTGGAAGATGGCTAATGTAATTCCTATTTTTAAAACAGGGGACAAGTCGTTACCGTCAAATTACCGCCCAATAAGCCTGACCTCAATTGTAGGCAAATTACTAGAGTCAATTATAGCTGAGATTATAAGAAGCCATCTCGATAAGCATAGCTTGATTAATGATACTCAGCATGGATTCACAAGAGGCCGTTCTTGTCTAACTAATTTATTAACTTTCTTCAGTAAAGCTTTTGAGGCTGTTGACCACGATAAAGAATTTTATATTATTTACTTAGATTTTAGTAAGGCTTTTGATAGAGTTCCGCACCATAGACTGTTAAAGAAAGTGGCAGCTCATGGCATTGGGGGAAAAGTGCTCTCGTGGATCGAGTCATGGCTCACTGACAGGAAGCAGAGAGTGTCCATAAATGGGGTTAAATCCGAGTGGGGATCTGTAACAAGTGGCGTTCCACAGGGATCAGTCTTGGGCCCGTTGTTGTTTATAATATATATCAATGATCTTGATGAGGGAATTACTAGTGATATGAGCAAATTCGCCGATGACACAAAGATAGGTAGGATAATTGATTCAAACGTGGATGTTATGGAACTTCAGGAGGATTTAAACAAACTCTATTCTTGGTCAGAAAAGTGGCAGATGCATGTTCAATGTAGATAAATGCAAGGTTCTGAAGCTTGGGAGTGCCCATAACCCTAGTACTTATAAGTTAAATGATGTAGAACTTAGCCATACAGATTGCGAAAAGGACTTGGGGGCTATGGTGAGCAGCAACCTTAAACCAAGACAGCAATGCCTAAGCGTACGTAATAAGGCAAATAGATTACTGGGATTTATATCAAGAAGTGTAAGCAACAGAAGTCCAGAGGTCATACTGCAGCTTTATACATCATTAGTAAGGCCTCACCTAGATTATGCAGCTCAGTTCTGGTCTCCATATTACAGAATGGACATAAATTCGTTACAAAACATTCAGCGTAGGATGACTAAATTAATACATAACATTAGAAATCTTCCTTATGAAGAAAGATTGAAGACTCTTAAGTTACATTCACTTGTTAGACGAAGAATGAGGGGAGACCTGATCGAAGTGTATAAGTGGAAGATAGGTATTAATAAAGGGGATATTAATAAGGTCTTGAGGATGTCTCTCCAAGAGAGAACCCGCAGTAATGGATTTAAATTAGATAAGTTTAGATTTAGAAAGGACATAGGAAAGTATTGGTTTGGAAATAGGGTAGTAGATTAGTGGAACAGTGTACCTAGTTGGGTTATTGAGGCTGGGACTTTGGGTAGTTTCAAATTTAGGTTGGATAAGTACATGAGTGGGAGGGGTTGGATTTGAGTGGGACTTTCACATCAGAGCTTATTTCTCGGGTGGCATTGAAAATTGGGTTGGGCAAATGTTTTGTTAGTGGGATGAATTGTAAAGGACCTGCCTAGTATGGGCCAACAGGCCTCCTGCAGTGTTCCTCCTTTCTTATGTTCTTATGTGGACACTACTCTCTCCCTCGTGATGGCTGGGTCGAAGTGGACACTACTCCCTCCCTCATGATGGGTGGGTCGTAGTGGACACTACTCTCTCCGCCATGATGGGTGGGTCGTAGTGGAAACTACTCTCTCCATCATGATGGCTATATCGTAGTGCACACTACTCCCTCCCTTATGATGGCTGGGTCGTAGTGGACACTACTCTCTCCCTCATGATGGGTGGGTTGTAGTGGGCACTACTCTCTCCATCATGATGGCTGGGTCGTAGTGGACACTATTCACTCCCTCATGATGGCTGGGTCGTAGTGGACACTACTCTCTCCCTCATGATGACTGGGTCGTAGTGGACACTACTCTCCCCATCATGATGGCTGTGTCGTAGTGGACACTACTCTCTCCCTCATGATGTCTGGGTCGTAGGGGACACTACTCTCTCCCTCATGGTGGCTGGGTCGTAGTGGATACTACTCTCTCCATCATGATGGCTATATCGTAGTGCACACTACTCCCTCCCTTATGATGGCTGGGTCTTAGTGGACACTACTCTCTCCCTCATGATGGATGGGTCGTAGTGGACACTATTCTCTCCCTCATGATGGCTGGGTCGTGGTGGACACTACTCAGTCCTTCATGATGGGTGGGTCGTAGTGGACACTACTCCCTCCCTCATGATGGCTGGGTCGTAGTGGACACTACTCTCTCCCTAATGATGGCTGGGTCGTAGTGGACACTACTCTCTCCCTCATAATGGTTTGGTCGTAGTGGGCACTACTCTCTCCATCATGATGGCTGGGTCGTAGTATACACTATTCACTCCCTCATGATGGCTGGGTCGTAGTGGACACCACTCTCTCCCTCATGATGGCTGGGTCGTAGTGGACACTACTCTCCCCATCATTAAGGCTGTGTCGTAGTGGATACTACTCTCTCCCTCATGATGTCTTGGTCGTAGTGGATACTCCTCTCTCCATCATGATGGCTGGGTCGTAGTGGACACTAATTTGTCCCTCATGATGGGTGGATCGTAGATGACGCTACTCTCTCCCTCATCATGGGTGGGTCGTAGTGGACACTACTCTCTCCCTCATGATTGCTTGGTAGTAGTGAATACTACTCTCTCCCTCATGATGGCTGGGTCGTAGTGGACACTACTTTGTCCCTCATGATGGGTGGATCGTAGATGACGCTACTCTTTCCCTCATGATGGCTGTGTCGTACTGGACACTACTCGCTCCCTCTTGATGTCTGGGTCGTAGGGGACACTACTCTCTCCCTCATGGTGGCTGGGTCGTAGTGGATACAACTCTGTCCCTCATGATGGGTGGGTCGTATTGGACACTATTCACTTCCTCATGATGGTTGGGTCGTAGTAGACACTGCTCTGTCGTTCATTATGGGCGGGTCGTAGTAGACACTACTGTGGTTCATGATGGGAGGGTCGTAGTCGACGCTACTCTCTCCCTCATGATTGCTAGGTCGTCGTGGACTCTTTCTGCCTCATGATGGCTGGGTCGTAGCGGACACTGCTCTCTCCCTCATGATGGGTGGGTCGTAGTGGACACTACGCTTTCCCTCATGATGGGTGTGTCGTAGTGGACACTACTCTCTCCCTTATGATGCATGGGTCGTAGCGGGCACTATCCCTCATGATGGGTGGGTGGTAGTGGACGCTTCTCTCTCCCTTATGATGAATGGGTCGCTAATAACACTTCTCTCATGAAGACAGGATCGTACTGGACGCTTCTCCCACTCTAATGGATGGTCGAAGTGGATACTGTCACCTTTATGAAGGTGGGGTCGTAGTGGATACTACTCTTATGGGTGGGTCGTTGATAACACTCATACTGGGAGAGTGGCACTACGTCACTTCTACACCCTTGACCACACTGATAAGGTAAGACAGATATCATGCTAGAGTAGTTGTGGTTCCTTAGATAAGATGTGTGAGCGCTGGAGCTCAGTCCGTTATGACACTTCATACTGTGACAACTGTAAGTTCGTTCACTCGCTACTCATCTTGCGCTACATTGAACACCAAGTGCTGGAGTGACCAGCTGGTGATACAGTGGTCACCTGGTGCTCAAGCAGAAACATCAGCTGTCAAGTCCTCGTTGACCTTCGCATGTGACCTCACTGGGCATAATGATGCAAACGTCAATCTGTTACCTGATGTTCCTGGTGCTGTTTGTCTCTTGTTTGTCTTCGGTAACAGGTACGTGAATAACATCAAGTATAATATAAAGGTAATGTTTATTATAATATTCGTCAGGAAGCGGGACAAGTCTCTCCTGACAAAGGTTTTAATTATGTAGATGACCAGTTTAAGATTACTGGTAATGTCTGAGGAGTCATTAAAGCTGAACTCACAAGTATAATTGCATGTTGGAATTTGTGGGGCCGACGAGAGTGAGCTGCAGCTCTTGATCCCGCTTCTTAAATACTCTTCCCACAGACTTCAATTAGCGTTAATCAGGACAAATTTTGAACGTGTCCGGGGTTTACTTCCACTGTATCATCATTCAGTACATTTTGTTTTTTCATCTGTTGCTCATTTGATTGTTTTTATTACCCTTGTGTAATACCTGTGACTGTGTACCTTCTACAGCAGAACCTAAGACTATATGTGTATAAGCTCGCATTGGCAGTTTGAAGGGGCGAATTAGGACCTTTACTTACGTCTAACCGTTTTTAGTGAGGAACTTTTCTCTTCTTCCCGTAATGAGCAATTATAATTATTTTTGACCTCGGTATTAACCGTGGCATCACATGCAATCCCTGAAACCTTGGTCGTCGTCTACTTATGATCTTGTACTATGTTTGAAACTTGCTGTGTAGGGCCGATATTGTTATAATAGGACTACAGAACGACTCCTTGATTTTATGCTTACGAATGCGGTTGCTCGACATGTAAATCGTGAAGTAAAACCTACTTGTTGGCGGGCTTATGTTTCTACTGTTACTTCCGCTTCCTCTGTGTACAGTTTGGAAAAAGTACTAAAATTGAGTACAGGTACTCTCCAGTCCCTGCTCCCGTTCTAGTCCAGGTACTCTCAAGTCCTTGCTCCCGTTTTAGTCCAGGTACTCTCAAGTCCTTGCTCCCGTTTTAGTCCAGGTACTCTCAAGTCCTTGCTCCCGTTCTAGTCCAGGTACTCTCAAGTCCTTGCTCCCGTTTTAGTCCAGGTACTCTCAAGTCCTTGCTCCCGTTCTAGTCCAGGAACTCTCAAGTCCCTGCTCCCGTTCTAGTCCAGGTACTCTCAAGTCCCTGCTCCCGATCTAGTCCAGGTACTCTCCAGCCCCTGTTCCCGTTCTAGTCCAGGTACTCTCCAGTCCCTGCTCCCGTTCTAGTCCAGGTACTCTCCAGCCCCTGTTCCCGTTCTAGTCCAGGTACTCTCCAGACCCTGCTCCCGTTCTAGTCCAGGTACTCTCCAGTCCCTGCTCCCTTTCTAGTCCAGGTACTCTCCAGTCCCTGCTCCCGTTCTAGTCCAGGTACTCTCCAGTCCCTGCTCCCTTTCTAGTTCAGGTACTCTCCAGCCCCTGTTCCCGTTCTAGTCCAGGTACTCTCCAGACCCTGCTCCCGTTCTAGTCCAGGTACTCTCCAGTCCCTGCTCCCGTTCTAGTCCAGGTACTCTCCAGTCCCTGCTCCCGTTCTAGTCCAGGTACTCTCCAGTCCCTGCTCCCGTTCTAGTCCAGGTACTCTCAAGTCCTTGCTCCCGTTTTAGTCCAGGTACTCTCAAGTCCTTGCTCCCGTTCTAGTCCAGGTACTCTCAAGTCCTTGCTCCCGTTTTAGTCCAGGTACTCTCAAGTCCTTGCTCCCGTTCTAGTCCAGGAACTCTCAAGTCCCTGCTCCCGTTCTAGTCCAGGTACTCTCAAGTCCCTGCTCCCGATCTAGTCCAGGTACTCTCCAGCCCCTGTTCCCGTTCTAGTCCAGGTACTCTCCAGTCCCTGCTCCCGTTCTAGTCCAGGTACTCTCCAGTCCCTGCTCCCGTTCTAGTCCAGGTACTCTCAAGTCCTTGCTCCCGTTTTAGTCCAGGTACTCTCCAGCCCCTGTTCCCGTTCTAGTCCAGGTACTCTCCAGTCCCTGCTCCCGTTCTAGTCCAGGTACTCTCCAGTCCCTGCTCCCTTTCTAGTCCAGGTACTCTCCAGTCCCTGCTCCCGTTCTAGTCCAGGTACTCTCCAGTCCCTGCTCCCTTTCTAGTTCAGGTACTCTCCAGCCCCTGTTCCCGTTCTAGTCCAGGTACTCTCCAGACCCTGCTCCCGTTCTAGTCCAGGTACTCTCCAGTCCCTGCTCCCTTTCTAGTCCAGGTACTCTCCAGTCCCTGCTCCCGTTCTAGTCCAGGTACTCTCCAGCCCCTGCTCCCGTTCTAGTCCAGGTACTCTCCAGCCCCTGCTCCCGTTCTAGTCCAGGTACTCTCCAGTCCCTGCTCCCTTTCTAGTCCAGGTACTCTCCAGTCCGTGCTCCCGTTCTAGTCCAGGTACTCTCCAGTCCCTGCTCCCGTTCTAGTCCAGGTACTCTCCAGTCCCTGCTCCCGTTCTAGTCCAGGTACTCTCCAGTCCCTGCTCCCGTTCTAGTCTAGGTACTCTCCAGTCCGTGCTCCCGTTCTAGTCCAGGTACTCTCCAGCCCCTGCTCCCGTTCTAGTCTAGGTACTCTCCAGTCCGTGATCCCGTTCTAGTCCAGGTACTCTCCAGTCCCTGCTCCCGTTCTAGTCTAGGTACTCTCCAGTCCCTGCTCCCGTTCTAGTCTAGGTACTCTCCAGCCCCTGCTCCCGTTCTAGTCCAGGTACTCTCCAGTCCCTGCTCCCGTTCTAGTCCAGGTACTCTCCAGTCCCTGCTCCCGTTCTAGTCCAGGTACTCTCCAGTCCCTGCTCCCGTTCTAGTCTAGGTACTCTCCAGTCCGTGCTCCCGTTCTAGTCCAGGTACTCTCCAGTCCCTGCTCCCGTTCTAGTCCAGGTACTCTCCAGTCCATGATCCCGTTCTAGTCCAGGTACTCTCCAGTCCCTGCTCCCGTTCTAGTCTAGGTACTCTCCAGTCCCTGCTCCCGTTCTAGTCCAGGTACTCTCCAGTCCCTGCTCCCGTTCTAGTCTAGGTACTCTCCAGTCCGTGCTCCCGTTCTAGTCCAGGTACTCTCCAGTCCGTGCTCCCGTTCTAGTCCAGGTACTCTCCAGCCCCTGCTCCCGTTCTAGTCCAGGTACTCTCCAGTCCCTGCTCCCGTTCTAGTCTAGGTACTCTCCAGTCCCTGCTCCCGTTCTAGTCTAGGTACTCTCCAGTCCGTGCTCCCGTTCTAGTCTAGGTACTGTCCAGCCCCTGCTCCCGTTCTAGTCCAGGTACTCTCCAGCCCCTGCTCCCGTTCTAGTCCAGGTACTCTCCAGCCCCTGCTCCCTTTCTAGTCCAGGTACTCTCCAGCCCCTGCTCCCGTTCTAGTCTAGGTACTCTCCAGTCCGTGCTCCCGTTCTAGTCCAGGTACTCTCCAGTCCGTGCTCCCGTTCTAGTCCAGGTACTCTCCAGTCCTTGCTCCCGTTCTACTCCAGGTACTCTCCAGTCCCTGCTCCTGTTCTAGTCCAGGTACTCTCCAGTCCCTGCTCCCGTTCTAGTCCAGGTACTCTCCAGTCCGTGCTCCCGTTCTAGTCCAGGTACTCTCCAGTCCCTGCTCCCGTTCTAGTCTAGGTACTCTCAAGTCCGTGCTCCCGTTCTAGTCCAGGAACTATCCAGTCCCTGCTCCCGTTCTAGTCTAGGTACTCTCCAGTCCCTGCTCCCGTTCTAGTCTAGGTACTCTCCAGCCCCTGCTCCCGTTCTAGTCCAGGTATTCTCCAGTCCCTGCTCCCGTTCTAGTCCAGGTACTCTCCAGTCCCTGCTCCCGTTCTAGTCTAGGTACTCTCCAGTCCGTGCTCCCGTTCTAGTCCAGGTACTCTCCAGTCCCTGCTCCCGTTCTAGTCCAGGTACTCTCCAGTCCCTGCTCCCGTTCTAGTCCAGGTACTCTCCAGCCCCTGCTCCCGTTCTAGTCCAGGTACTCTCCAGCCCCTGCTCCCTTTCTAGTCCAGGTACTCTCCAGCCCCTGCTCCCGTTCTAGTCTAGGTACTCTCCAGTCCGTGCTCCCGTTCTAGTCCAGGTACTCTCCAGTCCGTGCTCCCGTTCTAGTCCAGGTACTCTCCAGTCCTTGCTCCCGTTCTACTCCAGGTACTCTCCAGTCCCTGCTCCTGTTCTAGTCCAGGTACTCTCCAGTCCCTGCTCCCGTTCTAGTCCAGGTACTCTCCAGTCCGTGCTCCCGTTCTAGTCCAGGTACTCTCCAGTCCCTGCTCCCGTTCTAGTCTAGGTACTCTCAAGTCCGTGCTCCCGTTCTAGTCCAGGAACTATCCAGTCCCTGCTCCCGTTCTAGTCTAGGTACTCTCCAGTCCCTGCTCCCGTTCTAGTCTAGGTACTCTCCAGCCCCTGCTCCCGTTCTAGTCCAGGTATTCTCCAGTCCCTGCTCCCGTTCTAGTCCAGGTACTCTCCAGTCCCTGCTCCCGTTCTAGTCTAGGTACTCTCCAGTCCGTGCTCCCGTTCTAGTCCAGGTACTCTCCAGTCCCTGCTCCCGTTCTAGTCTAGGTACTCTCCAGTCCGTGCTCCCGTTCTAGTCCAGGTACTCTCCAGTCCCTGCTCCCGTTCTAGTCTAGGTACTCTCCAGTCCGTGCTCCCGTTCTAGTCCAGGTACTCTCCAGTCCGTGCTCCCGTTCTAGTCCAGGTACTCTCCAGCCCCTGCTCCCGTTCTAGTCCAGGTACTCTCCAGTCCCTGCTCCCGTTCTAGTCTAGGTACTCTCCAGTCCGTGCTCCCGTTCTAGTCTAGGTACTCTCCAGTCCGTGCTCCCGTTCTAGTCTAGGTACTCTCCAGCCCCTGCTCCCGTTCTAGTCCAGGTACTCTCCAGTCCCTGCTCCCGTTCTAGTCTAGGTACTCTCCAGTCCCTGCTCCCGTTCTAGTCTAGGTACTCTCCAGTCCGTGCTCCCGTTCTAGTCCAGGTACTCTCCAGCCCCTGCTCCCGTTCTAGTCCAGGTACTCTCCAGCCCCTGCTCCCGTTCTAGTCCAGGTACTCTCCAGCCCCTGCTCCCGTTCTAGTCTAGGTACTCTCCAGTCCCTGCTCCCGTTCTAGTCTAGGTACTCTCCAGTCCGTGCTCCCGTTCTAGTCTAGGTACTCTCCAGTCCCTGCTCCCGTTCTAGTCTAGGTACTCTCCAGTCCGTGCTC